CTCCAGAGTGTTGTTCAGCATGGGGGTGAGTAGAAAATGAAGGCTAATCATGTTTTGGATGTACTATTCCTTTAAGAGACAGAAGCAGAGATAAAGAAAGACGCAGAGATACAAAGGAAAGTTAATAGAAAGTTAAATCAGTCCAGTTAAACAAACATAATAATAACCGAGCAAGCTCAGGCTGGTAATCTGGGATGGGCCGGTCCTGATTTCAGCGTGCGAGGGCCGGCCCTATTTAAATCATTCCTGTGACAGTAAATAAGTCAAGGAGCTCAAGAAGTAATATAATGTTAACTATATAAATTATCCATGCAGTATATACAGCTCTTACTTGTCATGCACAAGATAATCTGCCAATGGAATGAACATTTCTACCCTTACAATAAGATAATTAGATATAAGCACTTAGAATAATACATTTATTTTTTTACTTCTTTTAAATGTGAATTGTCTTATTCCATCGGCAAAGTGTCTCACCTACCTGCTCAATTCAAGAAAAAAAAATGCAGTTATTATAAGAAACCAATGACTGACATAGATTTATATTTTTTGTGGTGAAATGGGAGTTGTTTGAGTGTCTTGCATAATTCTGGCAATGTTCTGTTTTTGTTTGTTTTTTGTGCTTAGAGACCCTGAATACCTCACAGACGCATACATTTTGCACTTTTCCTGTTATAGGCTTCCACCCCGCCTGCTCAGACCGGCCTCTCTCCTCTCTGTGAATCTGAATAACTGCCTGACGCTGGACGCTTTGGGGAAATCTGCCTATATTAGAATATGGGGTAGAGATGACTGTACAAAGGTTCTGCACGCTAGTCTGATCATGCACTTGACAGCTGCTGCACGGACGCTGGCATGGCCTGTTGAACACCAGCTTGGTGGGCATCATGAATGTGAACGGCTCCCCAACTTCCTGACAGATTTCACTGCGTTACCAGGCGGCCCTCGGCACACAGAGGAAAGGAGGGGTCAAAGGTTGCAGCACACTGTGTCACGGCCCAGTGGAGGCTGACATGCAGAGAGAACCGGTCCTCTCCAACTGCACTCTTCATCTCAGGATGCAAAATTAGATCCACTGGAGCTTCATGAGAGATTCATTTGACAGCCAGCCTGTCAGACTATGTGATGCGGCAGCGAGTCACCTCTGCAGCACGCTGCTCACATGTGTATGTACAAACTGTCAGGGTGTCATGGCTACAACAAGATAGAAATCACAGGAGATGAAGCAGATCTGGGATTATCCATAAACAGGAAAACAGGCAGAGGTGTCAAGTAACGAAGTACAAATACTTTATTAATGTACTTAAGTACACTTTTTAGGTATCTATACTTTACTCCATTACTTATTTTTCTTCCTACTTCTGACTTCTACTCATTACATTTTCACACAAGTATCTGTACTTTCTATTCCTTACATTTTTAAAACAAACGTTACTCGTTACTTTTGGCTTCGGTTTAATGCAGATCATTGGCTCCATCCACATCTAGTGAAAACTAGTGTGATTGGATGAGTCATATAATGTAAACACTCATTGGTTAGCTAAAGGAAAT